TGCCGGTCTGCTTGACTTCACACCACCTGGTAGCCGTGCCCAGGAACTTCCACAGGTGAAGTACTGCTAGGACCGATTGCTACATGTTGGCGCATTGATTCTGCTGTTATTCCAGGAAAACACTGGAAATGATAAAGGGTCTGGAGAACAAGCCCTATGAGGAGCGGCTTAAGGAGCTGGGCATGTTTAGCCTGAAGAAGAGAAGGCTGAGAGGAGATATGATAGCCATGTATAAATATGTGAGAGGAAGCCACAGGGAGGAGGAGGGAGAAAGCTTGTTTTCTGCTTCCTTGGAGACTAGGACGCGGAACAAATGGCTTCAAACTACAAGAGAGGAGATTCCATCTGAACATGAGGAAGAACTTCCTGACTGTGAGAGCGTTCAGCAGTGGAACTCTCTGCCCTGGAGTGTGGTGGAGGCTCCTTCTTTGGAAGCTTTTAAACAGAGCTGGATGACCATCTGTCAGGGGTGATTTGAATGCAATATTCCTGCTTCTTGGCGGAATGGGGTTGGACTGGATGGCCCAGGAGGTCTCTTCCAACTCTTTGATTCTATGATTCTCTGCAGTACTTGATCTGGCCGTTGCTAAATCTTCCACACTTAGTGGTCGTATTATTTATTTATCATTTATCTACAGTATTTCTATTCTGCCCTTCTCACCCCGCAGGAGACTCAGGGCGTATCACAATACACATATACATGGCAAACATTCAATGCCAGTTAGACATACAACATATATAGATGGACACGGAGGCTATTTAACACTCCAGCTTTCCTGGCTTTATGAGAGTATGCTGGCTTCCGGCTCGTTGGGACAGTGGAACGGCCGCTTCGCGATCCACTGTGACACCGAATCCTTTGATGGAGTACTTCCTCATTCTTCTGCACGCTGCTGGAAGGTTTTATGGCGTCGTAAATTAGTTAAATTAGCCTCCCTGCATAAAGCAGTACCTACATTTCCTATTTGACATATGCAACTGTCTTTCGGGCTGCATAGATCGACAGCAAGCTAGACTAATGGCCAGAAGCTCACTCTGACCTGGGCTGGCTTCGAACCCGTGACCTCTCAGTTAGTAGTGATTTAATACAGCTGGGTTTTTAAACAGAGACTGGATGGCCATCTGTCAGGGGTATTTGAATGCAATATTCCTGCTTCTTGGCAGGGGGTTGGACTGGATGGCCCATGAGGTCTCTTCCAACTCTTTGATTCTATGATTCTAGGAGGAAGAACTTCCTGACTGTGAGAGCCGTTCAGCAGTGGAACTCTCTGCCCCGGAGTGTGGTGGAGGCTCCTTCTTTGGAAGCTTTTAAACAGAGGCTGGATGGCCATCTGTCAGGGGTGATTTGAATGCAATATTCCTGCTTCTTGGCAGGGGGTTGGACTGGATGGCCCATGAGGTCTCTTCCAACTCTTTGATTCTACGATTCTGTTGGATCCCCCAGCTAGCTGCTCCACAGCCCGGTCCTGTATTGGTACTTAACTTGCCCTTTTGGAGTTTTCCTTTCTTAGACTTTTGCATTTTGGATGGGCTGTAGTAGGGCCAGGCTGTAGCACAACTGGTAAATCACCAGCAGCAATAGATCACTGCTAACTTCGAAACCCGGGTCAAGATGTGCACCTGACTGTCAGCCCAGCTTACTGTCCACCTAAGCCAGTGTTTCTCAACCTTGCTAACAGAGTGACCCCTAATTATGGTTATTCATGTTGTGGTGACCCCCAACCATAAAAATATTTTTGAGAGCGCAAGGCAGGCTTTGTGCAAGGCCAGGCCTCGCGCAAAGGAGCCCTCACCTGGCCCACACCCTTGCCGGCTGGCAAGCAGGTGAGACAGGCTTTGCGCAAGGCCAGGTCTTGCGCAAAGGAGCCCTCACCTGGCCCGCACCCTTGCCACTGCGACCCCTCCAAAATGGCCAAACAACCCCCTTGGGGGTCGCGACCCCCAGATTGAGAACCACTGATCTAAGCAATCGAAAACAGCTTGAGAGCTGTAAGTAGAGAAATTAGGTACCACTTCAAAAGCAGGGGAGGTATTTTACGGCACCATAAAAGGAAATACCAGAAATGCCAGTGACCAAAAGGAAGGAGGAATTCTGTGATGGCTCTCCGTCATAGAGGATAGATTGACAGCACCCCCCTGTGGCCATAATCAAGCACAACCTCCAGGGTGCCGAAGTTGGATGCCGACACGACATACCTCTGTCTGTTTTTCCTGTCTGTTTCAACAGCATTGAATGTTTGCGTGTGTGTGTTCTGTGATCCACCCTGAGTCCCCTTGGGGAGATAGGGCAGAATATAAATAAAATATATTATTATTATTATTATTATTATTATTATTATTATATTGTTTGAGAGGTTTCTTGGTTGTTTCCCGAGCTGGTGGAGTCAGACTGACAGCTGAAGATGGATTGGTGGTTGCCGTAGTTGTCTGCTTCTCTGTTATTGTTTTCACAAGTCCGAACCATTGGTCCAGTTTTGTTTCTATGACTTGAAAGTTTGCTCTGCTCTCCTCCAGTGAGACTTTGCAAGATAGTTCTGTCCTCCACCATGTCCTGGAGGATGGATTCGTGGCTTTCGGGGTGGCCTGTTTGACATAATACATCATACAAAAGCTTTCCTGCGCTTTCCTCCTTGGCTCCTTGTTCTCATGTTATGAAAGGGTGTTTCTTGGGATAGCGCTGCCATAGTAGGGGGGACTTCTTCCTCTGAAACAGAGAAGCAATGCTTTATTTCTTACAGTTTTGAGATCTTTAACATTACGAATACGACAATATTTATACCTACTAAACCCATTTCAACATCAATAAAAGCATTTCAACATTAATACTTTTTAAATGCACCGGGACTGTGCATTTCAAGCACCGGGACTGTGGCACAGCTGGCTGGGAGTCAGCTGCATTAAGATCACAACTGACAGAAAGGTCATGAGTTCAAAGCCTGCCCAGGTCAGAGTGAGCTTCCGGTCATTTGTCTAGCTTGCTGTCGACCTTTGCAGCCCGAAAGTTGCACCTGACTGTCAGCCCAGCTTACTGTCTGTCGACCTTTGCAGCCCAGCTTACTGACTGTCAGCCCAGTTGCATCTGTCAAGTAGGAAATTTAGGTACTGCCTACGCGGGGAGGCTAATTTAACTAATTTACGATGCCATAAAAATCTCCAGCAAGGCTACAAAGAATGAGGAAGTACTGGGTTGTTGTAGGTTTTTTCGGGCTATATGGCCATGGTCTAGAGGCATTCTCTCCTGACGTTTCGCCTGAATCTGTGGCAAGCATCCTCAGAGGTTGTGAGGTCTGTTGGAACTAGGAAAAAAGGTTTATATATCTGTGGACTGACCAGGGTGGGACAAAAAACTCTTGTCTGCTGGAGGTAGGTGTGAATGTTTCAACTGACCGCCTTGATTAGCATATAATGGCCTGACAGTGCCTGGAGCAAACTTTTGTTGAGAGGTGATTAGATGTCCTTGTTTGTTTCCTCTCTGTTGTTTTACTGTTGTAATTTTAGAGTTTTTTAATACTGGTAGCCAGATTTTGGTCATTTTCATGGTTTCCTCCTTTCTGTTGAAATTGCCCATGTGATTGTGGATTTCAATGGCTTCTCTGTGTACTCTGACATGGTGGTTGTGAGAGTGGTCCACCATTTCTGTGTTCTCAAATAAAATGTTGTGTCCATGGACATCTAATCACCTCTCAACAAAAGAATGCCCCAGGCACTGCCAGGCCATCAAATGCTAATCAAGGTGGTCAGGCGAAACATTCACACCTAGCTCCAGCAGACAAGAGTCCTTTGTCCCACCCTGGTCATTCCACAGATATATTAAACCCTTTTCCCTCGTTCTAACAGACCTCACTACCTCTGAGGATGCTTGCCATAGATGCAGGTGAAACTTCAGGAGAGAATGCCTCTAGACCTTGGCCATATAGCCCGAAAAAATCTACAACAACCCAGTGATTCTGGCCATGAAAGCCTTCAACAATACAATGAGGAAGTACTCCATCAGTGTCACAAATGGATGGTGAAGCAACAGCTCCCCTGGTGGCCAGAATACCCCCATGAAAAGTTGGAATGTTAAATTGTCTCTGAGTGTCTGTCTATATATGTTGTGTGTTTATGGCATTGAATATTTGCCATGTATGTGTACATTGTAATCAGCCCTGAGTCCCCTGCGGGGAATAATGCTCTATTCCGAACTCAAGAACGGAAAACAGAATGTTGGTGGACAGGAAAATAGATTTAAAGATGGGCTCAAAGCCAACCTTAAAAACTCAGGCATGGACACTGAGAACTGGGAAGTCCTGGCCCTTGAGCGCTCCAGCTGGAGGTCAGCTGTGACCAGCAGTGCTGCACAATTTGAAGAGGCACGAATGGAGGGTGAAAGAGAGAAACATGCCAAGAGGAAGGCGTGTCAGGCCAACCCCGACCGGGACCACCTCCCACCTGGAAACCCTCACTGTGGGAGAAGATGCAGATCAAGAATAGGGCTCCACAGTCACCTACGGACCCACCGCCAGGACACCCATCTTGGAAGACAATACTACTCGGACGAGGGATTGCCTAAGTAAAGTTATCACCAATGAGTGTTTTGCTGTTCTTGAAACATAGCATTCATAATAGAAAATGCCATAATTTTAAGAAATGATTAACGAGAATTCACATAGGGCAGTGTTTCTCAACCTGGGGATCGGTGTTGTTTTAATTAAATTGTTTTATACAAACTGGGTTTTTGTTTGGTTCATCTCTGCCTCTGAATACGGCAGAGCCCTGGCATCGTGACAGTAAATAGGGAAACAGAAATCAAATTTAAAAGACTTCATTTCCCCCTTTAGATTAGGAATGAGGAAATGAAATCTTTTAAAATTGATTTCTGTTTCCTTATTTACTGTCACGATGCCAGGGCTCTGCCTTATTCAGAGGCAGAGATGAACCAAACAAAAACCCAGTTGTATAAAACAATTTAATTAAAAAAAACTATATGAGAATACACATAGAGACCATTACTTTCTGCATTAAATGCTATCACATATACCTTCTGTGGCAATCTGAGCATCAAGTAGTGATGGGGAGAGTGTGATGGATTCCTGAGAGCATGTTTCTTCAACTTCCGGAACGGCTGATGCTCCTCCTTCCTTGTTTCCTTGCTCCCAATGTACCGGCAAACTTTGGGATACCCTTGCTGGTTCTGTGCTGGCATCTCCTTGTAAAATAACTTCCAATTCTTTGTAGAACGGGCAAGTCCTTGGAGCATTTCCAGGGACGCTGTTATGTGCGAGGACCTCCTTAAAGGTCAGCCTCATCTTTTTGGCCTTTGTCCTGCACTCCTCCGCATTCCTGTCGTGTCCTTTCGCCCTCATTTCCGCAGCAATTTCCTCAAACACCTCAATATTCCTGTGCATCACTTGCAGGGCGTCTTGAAATTTCTGCTGACCCCATATCTCTAAAAGGTCATGGGTTTCGTGTATTTTCCACGTAATACCTTTCCCCTTTCCCTTTCTTTTAACTTCCTCAACTGTTCCTTCGTTTTGCCCAGTAGTTCTCAGTGAAGAGAGGTATTCTAGGAAATTGGTAGCAGAGTGCTGGGAAAGGAGTTTCGTTAGTTCTGTTTTAAGGAAGGATGTGGAAATGCCTTGTGGACAGTAATGGGAAGTGCCACAGCAAGGTAATTTTTCGTAGCAATCCCGTTGAAGTGCTGTTTTCTGATGGATACCTGGAAAACAAACAAAAGAGAAGCAATGCAGACTGAGCACCACACAAATGAAGTTTTTGGAGTATAACTACTTTCAAAGTAGGTATTTATTTATTTGCGACATTTATACGCCACCCTTCTCACCCCGAAGGGGACTCAGAGTAGCTTACAAGAGATATATACATACAATATATTATATTATTAGCATAGTACAATATCAGTATTATTGTTGTTGTTCATCCGTTCAGTCAGAGCTCCCTGTTGGCCATCACCACCACCCCGCTCCTTCAAGGTCAAGCCAGTCACTTCAAGGATCAGTATTATATATTAGGCCTGGTTGATCAAGAAAAAATTTGGTTCTAAAATCGATTTGTATTTGGGGTTTTTTTGTTTCGATATTTAAAATAATTACAAAACTTTCCCCCAAAAAAGTTTTGGTATTTAAGAAATTTTGTAAATATTAACGAATTTTTAGAATATTTTTGGTATTTCTTAAGAATAATATTAAAATAATATTAAAAAATATTTTAAAATGGAAAATTAACCAAACAATGGCCCAAATGTGGACCAAACACAGGCAGGAGACAGCAAATGAGAGCACACACCAACAGAAGAGTCTTTTCTTTTTTAGAATATTTTTAAGAATAATATTAAAATAATAAAAAAATAATATTAAAAAATATTTAAAAATGGAAAATTAACCAAAAAATTAAGAAACAAATTCACAAAAACCGAAGGAAGTAATGAATCCAAGCAAGGAATATAAGCAGCACTCACAGCAGCAAGGAATGAATCCAAGCAAGGAATGAATGAATCCAATCCAGTTGCTCGCTAGCCATTGCCAAGCCAACCTCTTCTCTCTCCCTCGCCCTCTGCAGCAATGAGCTACGGCCGCGCGGAGCCGCTTTGAAAGGGCTCGCCGGCCAATCAAAAACAAACAGCCACGGTGCACTGCTTGGGAGCGCCGGATTGGCTCCCAGGCACCAGCACTCCAGCAGCCTCCATCCCATTACGAAACGGGCGGAAGCTCGTTAAAAGGATGGGGGATGCCGCTTCGATATTTTAAAACCCTTCCGGGTTTGAAAAAGTGTTTCAATATCGCTTCGGAAATGCTAAAAATAACGAATGTTTTACGAACAACGAAATTAACGAACGAAACCGCACAGGCCTATTTATTTATTTATTTATTTATTTATTTACTTTGCTTGTATACCGCAGTTTCTCAGCCTGTAGGCGACTCAGCGCGGTTCACAACAAGAGCAAAAAAGACAATCATAACAATATACAATTTAAAAACCATTAAAAGCATAATATACAAAGTAATGACACATCAATAACAACACATTAACGTCTCGTAACTAGAATCGTGATCCAATTCGTCGTCTACAATTCCGTTCCTATATTCATCGTATTCATTGCACTATATTGTACTATACCATTATATTGTAATACTAGCCGTCCCCTGCCATGCATTGCTGTGACCCAGTCTGTGTATATGTGGCCCCCTCCCTGTCCAGGGACGACCTAGCTACGGTGATCCAGGCCACGGTCATCTCAAGACTGGACTACTGTAACGCCCTCTACATTGGCCTTCCTCTGTCGGTGATCCGGAAGCTCAAGTTGGTACAAAATGCAGCTGCTCGGCTTCTGGGAATTCCGATGAGATGCCACATAACACCAATCTTACTGCAGCTGCATTGGTTACCAATTGAGCACCGGATCACTTTCAAGGTGATGGTACTCACCTTTAAGGCCTTGCATGGTCTGGGGCCGATGTATCGGAGGGACCGCCTCACCCCCTACCAACCCCAGAGATCCCTCCGTTGTGAGAACCAAGATCTATTGGAAGTCCCCAGCGTCAAGATCTTGCGTCTAACAGCAACCAGACGCAGAGCCTTCACAGCAGTGGCACCATCACTCTGGAATACTCTGCCACCTGAAGTCCGTGCCTTGCGGGACTTATCAGCTTTCCGCAGGGCATGGAAGACATACCTGTTCCGACAGGCTTTTAATGTTTGATACTGTTGTTAGATTTTAGCTATTGCTCCGAGCCCCAGGGGAGTGGCGGCATATAAGTTCAAACAATAAATAAATAAATAAATAAATAAAATACGAAATCCAAACCCCTAGGTTGTGGTCAAGCCACAACCCCCTTTTTTCTGCCTAAGAGTTTAATAATGGACGGAATCATTACAAAATGAACTGGAAGAAAATCCTACTTTATATTTCTCGGTAAAACGTTTGACTATTTATTTATTTATTTACTTCATTTGTATACCGCCATTCTCAGCCCTAAGGCGACTCATAGCGGTTTACAACAAGCAAAAACAAGGCGAACAATCAAGGCAAAAATTCAATGCGGCATCAACAAGGTACTTAAAAACAGTTAACACAGAAACAAATTAAACAATTTAACAGTAATAAACATTCAGTGGCGTCTCATAACTAGAATCATGATCCAAACTCGTCAGTCGTAGTTCCATTTCCTGAAATTCATTGCACTGCTTATTCAAACGCCTGTTCAAATAACCAGGTTTTCACTTTCCTCCGGAATACCATCAATGAGGGGGCCAATCTGATGTCCGTGGGAAGGGCGTTCCACAGCCGAGGGGCCACCACCGAGAAGGCCCTGTCTCTCGTCCCCGCCAGCCGCGCCTGTGTTGCAGGCGGGATCGAGAGCAGGGCCTCCCCGGAAGATCTCAAAGTCCTAGTGGGTTCGTAGGTGGAGATGCGATCGGATAGGTAACTTGGGCCAGAACCGTTTAGGGCTTTATAGGCCAAAGCCAGCACTTTGAATTGGGCCCGGTAGCAAATTGGTAGCCAATGGAGCTGGCGCAACAGAGGGGTTGTATGCTCCTTGTGTGCCGCCCCTGTAAGTATCATGGCTGCCACACGCTGGACCAATTGAAGCTTCCGAGCCATCTTCAATGGCAACCCCACGTAGAGAGCATTGCAGTAGTCTAAACGGGATGTAACAAGAGCGTGGACTACCATGGCCAAGTCAGACTTCCCAAGGTACGGGCGCAGCTGGCGCACAAGCTCCTGGCCACCGCTGACACCTGAGGTTCCAGGCTCAGTGATGAGTCCAGGATCACACCCAAGCTGCGAACCTGCGTCTTCAGGGGGAGTGCAACCCCATCCAACACAGGCTGTAACCCTATACCCTGTTCGGCCTTGCGACTGACCAGGAGTACCTCTGTCTTGTCTGGATTCAGTTTCAATTTGTTCGCCCTCATCCAGACTGTCACAGCGGCCAGACACCGGTTCAGGACCTCGACAGCCTCCTTAGTACTACGTTTTGAATTAAATGTCTTACCACTATCTGCTTCTGGTTCTTCAACTGAATGTGCCAGAAGGCTGACACCAGTCTTTTCATGTTCTCCAAAAGGCGTTTGCAGGGGTGTGGATTGCCCAGATTCAGTAAGGCCTGGAGATACCAGGACTCTATTTGCGTCAAATTCCTCTTTTGCTCCTGGCTCTACAAAATAATAGAATTCATGGTTGTACATCTGTGTCAATTGTGATTCAAAATAATAATAATAATAATAATAATAATAATAATAATAATAGGTACTTGCCCCAGATGCAAATTAGAGTAAGCACTTGACCCTTTAAATTTGGGAGTAAACATATAAAATAACTTTTTTTTTGCTTTGATGGGTAATAAGGGAAACAGGAATCAAATTAAAAGACTCAATTTCCCCCTTAAATTAAGACTGAGTGTAACCACAGCTATGGGAACTTATAATTAGATTATGACTTACGCTGTTCTGAGGATATGTTTTTGAAACATATACACTTGAGTATAAGCTGGCCCGAATATAAGCCAAGGCACCTAATGTTTCCACAAAAAAACCTGGGTAAACTTATTGAGTCAAGTATAAGCCAAGGGTGAGAAATGTAGCAGCTACTAGTACATTTCAAAATAAAAATAGATACCAATAATTGAGGCATCAGTAGGTTAAATGATTTTGAGTGTTTATTTCAAAGAAGAAGAAAAAACTAGCTCTGTAAGTAGGAAGAAGGCATGCAGCTAGGTCGCTGTGCCAAGAGGAGAGGTCGGGCCCAGTCTAGCAGGAAGGTGCTTGGTTGCTGTGATGAGGGGAGAGGCTGCGCACCTTCTTCTTCTCCGCTCTCAGCACAGAGACCCAACTGGGTTGCTGTGCTGAGAGGGAAGAAGAGGAAGGTATGCAGCTTCTCTCTTCTCTCTTCAAGAGGAGAGGCCAGTTCCAACCCGGAGGGAAGGTGCATGTCTGATGAGCCATGCACCTTCCTGTCCTCCCCTCTCGGCACAGCCACCCAGCTGGGTTACTTCCTGCTAGACTGCTAGACTGGGCCCAACCTCTCCTCTTGGCACAGCGACCTAGCTGCATGCCTTCTTCCTACTTACAAAGCTAGTTTTTTTTTTCTTTGAAATAAACACTCAAAATCAGGTGGGTCTCTGTGCCGAGATGGAACTAGAGGCTGCACACCTTCCTCTCCTCTCTCGGTACAAAGACCCCACTGGGTTGCTGTGCTGAGAGGAAAGGAGAGGCCTCAACCTTTCTCTCCTCCTCTCTCAGCACAGAGACCCAGCTGGATCTCTGTGCTAAGACGGAAGTAGAGGCCACACACTTTCCTCTCTTCTCTTGGCACAGAGAGCCCGCAGGGTTGCTGTGCTGAGAGGAAAGGAGAGGACACACACCTTTCTCTCCTCCTCTCTCAGCACAGAGACCCAGCTGGTTGCTGTGTTGAAAGGAGAGGCCACACAACTTCATCTACTCTCTCAGCACAACGACCCCGATGGGTTGCTGTGCTGAGAGGAAAGGAGAGGCCGCGAACCTTCCTCTCCTCATTTCTTGGAACAGAAACTCAGGTGGGTTGCTGTGCCGAAAGGACAGGAGAGGCCGCGCACCTTCCCCTCCTCCTCTCTCCTAGCAGAGACCCAGATGGGAAGCCACGTCGCTTCCTGTCCTCCCCGCTCGGCACAGAGATCCAGGTGGGTCTCTGTGCCGAAATGGAAGTAGAGGCCACACATCTTCCTCTCCTCTCTCGGCCCAAAGACCCCACTGGGTTGCTGTGCTGAGAGGAAAGAAGAGGCCACACACCTTCCACTCCTCTCTTGGCACAGAGAGCCTGCTGGGTTGCCATGCTGAGAGGAAAAGAGAGGACGCGCACCTTTCTCTCCTCTCTTGGCACAGAGAGCCCACTGGGTTGCTGTGCCGAGAGGGAAGGAGAGGGTATGCGCCTTCCTCTTCTCTCAGCATAGAGACCCAGCTGGTTAAATGCAAGCAGTCACTCCCGGGGGGTTAAGGCCCAATGCCCCCCGGGAGGGCTTGGAGGTGGCTGGAATGGGGAGCTGGCCTTCACAGCAGGCAAGCAGTCAGTCAGTCAGTCCCAGGGGGCCAGGATTGATGCCCCCCCCGGGAGGGCTTAGAGATAGTCACACTGGAGGACGGCCGATATGCAGTGAAAGTTACTCCCAGCTAGTAGAAGCCTTGCAAAAAGGCTTCTTTCAGCTCCACACCTTCCTGCCAGGACCATCACTCAAGTATAAGCCGAAGGGGCCTTTTTTCAGCATAATAATGTGCTGAAAAATTAGGCTTATACTTGAGTATATACAGTACTTGTAATGCCATAATTTTAAAAAGCAATACGAGAACTCACATAGGGACCATTACTTTCTGGATAAAATTCTATCACATATACCTTCTGTGGCGATCTGGGCATCATGTAGTGATGGGGACAGTCCAATGGATTCCTGGGAGCATGTTTCTTCATCTTCTGGAACTGCTGATGCTTTTCCTTGTTTGCCTGTTTGCACCGAACTTTGAGACAATCTTGTTGATTCTGTGCTGGCATCTCTACGTAAAATAACTTCTAATTCCTTGTAGAACGGGCAAGTTATTGGAGCATTTCCAGATACTTTGTTGTGGGCGAGGACCTCCGTAAACGTTAGCCGCATCTTTTTGGCCTTTGCTCTGCATTCTTCCGCATTCCTGTTATGCCCTCTTGCCCTCATTTCAGTAGCAATTTCCTGAAATACCTCGATATTCCTGTGCACCCCATGCAGGGCATCTTGAAATTTCTGCTGTCCCCATATATCTAAAAGGTCCCGGGTTTCATCTAGTTTCCACCTAATACCTTTTCCTCTTCCCTTTCCCCTTCTTTGGACTTCTCGTGGTCCATCTTCATCCACTTGCCCAATTGTTCTCAGTGAAGGGAGGTATTCTAGAAAATCGTTAGCGGAATGCTGGGAAAGTAGTTTAATTAATTCCTTTATAAGAAATGATGTTGACCTGTCTTGTGAACAGTAATGTGAAGTTCCACAGCATGGTAATTTTTCATAGCAATCCTGTTGAAGTCCTGTTTTCTGACTGATACCTGGAAAACAAAGAAATGATATTTATTATTCATTTATTTACAGCATGTATATGCCACCCTTCCCACCCTGAAGGGGACTCAGGGCAGATCACAGAACACACACATGGCAAACATTCAATGCCGTTAGATCCCTTCTTGGGGGGGGGGGGGGGAGGAGTACAGGGTGGGATAGAACGAGGGAGGGGGTGTTGGTACTTCCAGGTACACCCAGAAGGGTTCATATCTTTTTACTTTTACATACGTTGTTTAAACTCATTAATACATTGCATTCCTTCATTTCATTAATTTTATTTAGTAATCTTCTTCATCGTATGTTTTGTCTATTTGCTCCGGGGGATTCACCCCCTTCCTTATTTATCTATACCTAGGATTTTTTTTTAAAATGTCCATTGTGTACATCTCTTTGTTTCTTTCCTTTATGAATTCTAGTACTGAACCCCATTCTGCTCTTTGGGGTTTCGTATAGTGGTTTAAAACATTCTGTGATTATTCTGCACATTTCATTTAATGCTACATTCACCTGCTTCGTGTGGACAGACATGTGCTAAACAGACTTCACACTGGAGCTTAATACACAAGGCCTTCTCATAACGAGGCATTAAGATCACCTAGTCAAAGCCATGGTATTCCCTGTAGTAACCTACGGATGTGAGAGCTGGACCTTAGGGAAGGCTGAGCGAAGGAAGATCGATGCTTTTGAACTGTGGTGCTGGAGGAAAGTTCTGAGAGTGCCTTGGACTGTGAGAAGATCCAACCAGTCCATCCTCCAGGAAATAAAGCCCGACTGCTCACTGGAGGGAAAGATACTAGAGACAAAGTTGAAGTACTTTGGCCACATCATGAGGAGACAGGAAAGCCTAGAGAAGACAATTATGCTGGGGAAAGTGGAAGGCAAAAGGAAGAGGGGCCGACCAAGGGCAAGATGGATGGATGGCATCCTTGAAGTGACTGGCTTGACCTTGAAGGAGCTGGGGGTGGTGACGGCCGACAGGGAGCTCTGGCGTGGGCTGGTCCATGAGGTCACGAAGAGTCGGAGACGACTGAACGAATGAACAACAACAACTGACCAAAAGGTCATAAGTTCGAAGCCAGCCCGGGTCGGAGTGAGCTTCCAACCAATTTGTGTAGCTTGCTGTTGACCTTTGCAGCCGGAAAGACAGTTGCATCTGTCAAATAAGAAATTTAGGTGCTGCTGATGCGGGGAGGCTAATTTAGCTAATTTACGAGGCCATAAAAATCTCCAGCAAGCATGCAAAGAATGAGGAAGTACTTCATCAGTGTCACAAATGGACGGTGAAGCAACAGCTCCCCTGGTGGCCAGAATACCCTCATGAAAAGCTGGAATGTTAAATAGCCTGTGTGCGTGTCTATATATGTTGTGTGTCTATGGCATTGAATGTTTGCCATGTATATGTACATTGTAATCCGCCCTGAGTCCCCTGCAGGGTGAGAAGGGAGGAATATAAATACTGTAAACAAACAAATAAACAAACAAACAGAGCAGGAATAAATATAAATTTACATTTCTCTGTGAGAACGCTTTTGACTACAGTTTAAATAAAATATTTCACAGTTACCTGCTTCTGGTTCTCCAACTGAATGTGCTGGAAGGTTGACCTGAGTCTTTTTATGTCCTCCAAAAGGCATTTGCACAGGTGGGGATTGTGGAAATTCGATAAGCGATGGAGACACCAGGACGCTGGTCACATCAAATTCCTCTTTTGCCGTTGCCTCTACAAAAGAATAGAACTCTCAGTTATACATCTCTGTGTATTTCGATTCAAAATATAAAAATTAGAATAAATACTTGCCCAGGTGCAATATGTACCTGCCCAGGTGCAAATTAATGTAGGTACTTGCCCCTTTAAATATGGGATTAAAGAGATAAATAACTTTTTTTTTGTTTCTCGCTGGAAAACATGGAAACGGAAACCAGGCAAATTGATCCATTTCTTAATAGCAGATACTGGCTTCAAATCAGGTTTTTTCCAGTGGTTTCTAGATCATTAAGGTCTTCCATGGTTTCAAAAGGAGTGTTTTGAAATGATTTCTGTAACAAAACAATTTAAATTTCTAACTTGAAGAAAAAGCTACTTTACATTTCTTTGTAAGAACAATTTTGCCTACGGAGTAAAACTGAATACAATTGGGACAGGCCTTAGCACAGATGGTTAATCACCAGCAGCAATAGATCTTTGCCAACCAAAAGGGTTCTAGCTCGAAGCCGAGGTTGGAGTAAGCACCCCATGTTCAGCCCAGCTTACTGTCCACCTAAGCCAGTGTTTCTCAACCTTGGGGTTGGGACCCCTGAGGGGGTCGCGAGGGGGTGTCAGAGGGGTCACCAAAGACCATAAGTATTTTCTGACGGTTATGGGGATTCCATGTGGGAAGTTTGAGCCAATTCTATCGTTGGTGGAGTTCAGAATGTTCTTTGATTGTAATGAACTATAAATCCCAGCAACTACAACTCCCAAATGTCAAGATCTATTTTCCCCAGACTCCACCAGTATTCACATTTGGGCATATTGAGTATTCGTGCCAAGTTTGTCCAGATCCATGATTGCATGAGTCCACAGTGCTCTCTGGATATAGGTGAACTACAACTCCCAACTAAAGGTCAATACACATCAAACCCTTCCAGTGTTTACCATTGGTCATGGGAGCGAAGTTTGGTTCAAATCCATCGCTGGTGGAGTTCAGAATGCTCTTTGATTAATGAACTGTAAATCCCAGCAACTACAACTCCCAAATTACAAAATCAATCCTCCCGCAACCCCACTAGCATTCACGTTTGGGTGTATTGGGTATTTGTGCCCAGTTTGGTCCAGTGAATGAAAATGCATCCTGCATATCAAATTATGATTTATAACAGTGGTAAAATTACTGTTATGAAGTAGCAAGGAAAACAATGTTATGGTTGGGGGTCACCACAACATGAGGGACTGTATTAAGGGGTCACGGCATTAGGAAGGTTGAGAACTACTGACCTAAGCAGTTGTAGCTGTGATTAGAGAAATTAGGCACCGCTTAAGCAGGGAAGTATTTGACAGCACTATAAAAAAGCTCACAAAGAACAGGAGGAAGTTTGTGATCAAAACGGTTGTGTTTTTATAGAGAATGGAGCAACATCACCCCCCTGTGGCCAGAATCGAGCATAACCTCCAGGATGTCCAAGTTGGAAAAATGCCAATTCACATACTTCTATCTGTCTGTCCTGTATGTTTAACTACATTGAATGTTTGCTGTGTATATGTTCTGTGATCCACCCTGAGTTTCCTTCAGGGTGAGAAGGACAGAATATAAATAAATAAATACATACATACATACATAAAGTGTTAGACAGTTACCAGCTTCTGGTTCTTGAACTGAATGTGCTGGAACGCTGTCATCAGTCGTTTCATGATCTCCAAAAGGAATTTGCACAGGTGTGGATTGTGGAGATTCAGTAAAAGCTGGAGAAACCAGGATTCTATTCATGTCAAATTCTTCTTTTACCATTGGCTCTACGAAATAACAAAATGCTTAGTTTTACATCTCTCTGTATTTTACACCATTTACAAGAACAAGATTTCTATAACACAAATAAAGTCCAACTTTCACACAATCTTCACACACTAGGCCTTCTCATAAGGAGGCCTACCTCACATTCTAAGGCCTTTCTCCCACAGTGAGGCCTACTACCATTGAGACCTATTCTCCCACTAAGGCATTCTCTCACACAGAGAGACTTCTCTCACACTGAGAGGTTCTCAGACTAAGCCTTCTCATAACAAGGCCTACCTCACATTCTGAGGCCTTTCTCCCACAGTGTGGCCTACTACCATTGAGACCTATTCTCCCACTGAGGCATTCTCTCACACAGAGAGACTTCTCTCACACTGAGAGGTTCTCAGACTAAGCCTTCTCATAACAAGGCCTACCTCACATTCTGAGGCCTTTCTCCCACAGTGTGGCCTACTACCATTGAGACCTATTCTCCCACTGAGGCATTCTCTCACACAGAGAGACTTCTCTCACACTGAGAGGTTCTCAGACTAAGCCTTCTCATAACAAGGCCTACCTCACATTCTGAGGCCTTTCTCCCACAGTGTGGCCTACTACCATTGAGACCTATTCTCCCACTGAGGCATTCTCTCACACAGAGAGACTTCTCTCACACTGAGAGGTTCTCAGACTAAGCCTTCTCATAACAAGGCCTACCTCACATTCTGAGGCCTTTCTCCCACAGTGTGGCCTACTACCATTGAGACCTATTCTCCCACTGAGGCATTCTCTCACACAGAGAGACTTCTCTCACACTGAGAGGTTCTCAGACTAAGCCTTCTCATAACAAGGCCTACCTCACATTCTGAGGCCTTTCTCCCACAGTGTGGCCTACTACCATTGAGACCTATTCTCCCACTGAGGCATTCTCTCACACAGAGAGATTTCTCTCACACTGAGAGGTTCTCAGACTAAGCCTTCTCATAACAAGGCCTACCTCACATTCTGAGGCCTTTCTCCCACAGTGAGGTGTACTACCATTGAGACCTATTCTCCCACTGAGGCGTTCTCTCACACAGAGAGGCTTCTCTCACACTGAGAGCTTTCTCACGACTGGCTCAAGAGCAGTACGTGTGAAAAAGATCTTGGGGTCCTTGTGGACAACAAGTTAAACATGAGCCAACAATGTGATACGGCAGCAAAAAAAGCCAATGGGATTTTGCCCTGCATCAATAGGAGTCTAGTGTCTAGATCCAGAGAAGTCATGCTACTCCTCAATTCTGCCTTGGTTAGACCACACCTGGAGTATTGTGTCCAATTCTGGGAACCACAATTGAAGGGAGATGTTGACTCTAAGCTGGAATGTGTCCAGAGAAGGGCAACTAAAATGATCAAGGGTCTGGAGAACAAGCCATATCAGGAGCAGATTAAAGAACTGGGCATGTTTACAGAAGAGAAGACTGAGAGGAGACATAATATCCATGTACTGTATAAACTTGTGAGGGGAAGTCATAGGGAGGAGGTAGCAAGCTTGTTTTCTGCTACCCTGGAGACTAGGATATGGAACAACATTTTCAAACTACAAGAGAGGAGATTCCATCTGAACATGAGGAAGAATTTCCTGACTGTGAGAGCTGTTCAGCAGTGGAACTCTCTGCCCCGGAGTGTGGTGGAGGCTCCTTCTTTGGGAAGCTTTTAAACAGAGGCTGGATGGCCATCTGTCAGGGGTGATTTGAATGCAATTTTCCTGCTTCTTGGCAGAATGGGGTTGGACTGGATGGCTTTTGCTGAATCATTGCATCCATATAACCCTTCCAGTGCTTGATCCACATTCTTGCAATCAAAAATACCTAATTAATTTTTAACATTTCTGACACTTATAATTATCTGGCAGCTTATTACTTACTAGAGTCTGCAATTTTGAGGATATGTTCTTGGAAAAAAAACTATGTGTAATGGAAAATGCCATAATTCAGAAAAACAATATGAGAATTCCCATAGAGACCATTACTTCCTGGATTGTATACCTTCCGTGGCAATCTGGGTACAAAGCACTGATGGGGAGAGTCCAATGGATCCCTGAGAGCATGTTTCTACAAGTTCTGCAACTGCTGATGCTTCTCCTTCTTTGTTTCCTTGCACCCACGGTATTGATGAACCTTGAGTTAATTTCGCCGGTTCTGTGCTGGCATCTCTCTGTAAAATAACTTCTAATTCTTCGTAGAACGAGCAAGTTCTTGGAGCGTTTCCAGATACCTCATTATGGGCGAGGACCTCCTTGAATTTCAGTCGCATCATTTTGGCCTTTGCCCTGCATTCCTCCGCGTTCCTGTCGTGCCCTCTTGCCCTCATTTCAGCCGCAATTTCCTCATATATCTCAAGATTCATGTGTATCGTCTGCAAGTCATCTTGAAATTTCTGCCGTCCCCATATATCTAAAAGGTCAAGGGTCTCCTCTAGGCTCCACCTAATGCCGTTTCCTTTCCCCCTTTTTTGGACTTCTCCTTGCCTATCCTCATCGTTTCCTTCCTTTTCTCCAGCGGTTCTCACTGAAGGGGGGCTTTCTAGGATACGGCTAGTGAAATGCGGGGGAAATATTTTAACTACTCCTCTTTTACAAAATGATGTTGAAATGTCTTGTGAACAATTATGTGATGTACCAGAGGGAGGTAATCTTTCGGAGCAATCCTGTCGAAGTGCTGTTTTCTGATTGTTACCTGGAAAACAAAGAAAAGGGACAAAATGTAGACTTATTTATTTATCTACAGTATTTATATTCCACCCTTCTCACCCCGCAAGGCACTCAGGGTGGATTACAATGTACACATTCATGGCAAACATTCAATGCTATAGATACACAACACATATAGAGAGACACTCAGAGGCTACTTAACATTCCAACTTTCCTGGCCACCAGGAGGGCTGTCACTTCACCGTCCATCTGCGACACTGATGTTTGACAGTTACCTGCTTCTGGTTCTCCAAGTGAATGTGCTGGAAGGCTGACATCACTCTTTTCATGTCCTCCAAAAGGCACGGGTGTGGATTGTGGAGATTCAGTAAGGGCTGGAGACAGCAGGACTCTATCTTTTGTCGTTGCCTCTACAAAATATTATTTATTTATTTATTTATACGCTTGTATACCGCTAATATCTCAGCCTAAGTCGGCGACTCATTGCGGTTTACAACAATTAAAAACAGTATTCAATTTAAAACATAAAACACATATATAATACAATTACTGGGCCACCAATAATAATCCCATGCATCTCATAACTAAAGTCACAATCCGATATTCGTCGTCTATGATTACCAGTCCTTTAGTCATCAAGATTCGATTGCAACGGATTAACCGAATGCTTGTTTAAACAACCATGTTTTCAATCTCTTCCGAAACACCATCAGCGAGGAGGCTGATCGTACCTCTATAGGGAGGGTGTTCCAAAGCCGAGGGGCCACCACAGAAAAGGCCCTGTCTCTCGTTCCCGCCAGCCGCATTTGTGAAGCCGGCGGGATAGAGAGCAGGGACTCTCCAGAAGATCTTAGGGTCCTGGTGGGCTGATAGGCTGAGATACGTTCGGATAGATAAGTTGGGCCAGAACCGTTTAGGGCTTTAAAGGCCAACGCCAGCACTTTGAATTGAGCCCGGTAGCATATCGGCAGCCAGTGGAGCTGGTGCAGCAGAGGAGTTGTATGCTCCCTGCGCCCCGCTCCTGTTAGTACCATGGCTGCCGCCCGTTGGACTAGTTGGAGCTTCCGGGCTGTCTTCAAAGGCAACCCCACGTAGAGAGCGTTGCAGTAATCAAGGCGGGATGTAACCAGAGCGTGGACTACCGTGGCTAAGTCAGACTTCCCAAGGTACTCTTAGTTATAAATATAGAACTCTTAGTTATAAATCTCTGTGTATTTTGGTTCAAAAAGTTAAAAACAAACTTATAATGTGATGTGCAGGTGTGATATGTACCTACCCAGGCACAAATTATTATTAAATTATTAAACTTTATTTGTACCCCGCTAGCATCTCCCGAAGGATTCGATGCGGCTTACACAGGCCGAGGCCTCAACACACAACATAACAATACAATCTAAGCAAATCAAACAGTTAAAAACAGAATAAAGCAAAATGAACAACAGGCAAAACAATATACTAAAACACAATAAAACTGGGCCAGGCCAGAGTAATGGATACAAGAATTAAAAGTGCTGATGTGACAGGGGGTGTATATGAGGCTTCTAGGGCAAGTACGATGTGCAGCAATCATTGGTTCTGGTAAAGTGCTTCTGGGACTTGGTAATGGTGGGTTCCTAATCTGGGAAGGCGCATCGGAAAAGCCAGGTCTTCAGGTTCTTTCTGAAGACTGCCAATGTAGGGGCCTGTCTAAGGTCTTTGGGGAGGGTGTTCCAGAGTCGGGGGGCCACCACGGAAAAGGCCCTGTCCCGCGTCCCCACCAAGCGCGCTTGCGACGTAGGTGGGATCACAAGCAGGGCCTCTCCAGATGACCGAAGTGAACGTGTGGGTTCGTAGATGGAAATGCGGTCACGCAGGTAGGCTGGTCCCAAACCGTTCAGGGCTTTGTAGGTAAGCACCTGCACCTTAAATTGGGCTCGGAAAATAAACGGCAGCCAGTGGAGCTCCTTAAACAGGAGGGTTGACCTCTCTCTGTAATGAGCCCCGGTTAACATCCTGGCTGCTGCCCGTTGGACCAGTTGGAATTTCCGAGCCGTTTTCAAGGGCAGCCCCACATAGAGTGCATTGCAGTAATCCAATCTGGAGGTAACTAAGGCATGGACCACCCTGGCCAGATATGACTTCACGAGGTACGGTCGCAGCTGGCGCACGAGTCTTAATTGTGCGAAAGCCCTCCCAGACACCGCCGATGCCTGAGCCTCAAGCGTCAGGTTCTTTCTGAAGACTGCCAATGTAGGGGCCTGTCTAAGGTCTTTGGGGAGGGTGTTCCAGAGTTGGGGGGCCACCACGGAAAAGGCCCTGTCCCGTGTCCCCACCAAGCGCGCTTGCGACGTGGGTGGGATCACGAGCAGGGCCTCCCCAGATGATCGAAGCAAGCGTGTGGGTTCGTAGATGGAGATGCGGTCACGCAGGTAGGGTGGTCCCAAACCGTTCAGGGCTTTGTAGGTAAGCACCTGCACCTTAAATTGGGCTCGGAATATAAACGGCAGCCAGTGGAGCTCCTTGAACAGGAGGGTTGACCTCTCTCTGTAAGGGGCCCCAGTTAGCATCCTGGCTGCTGATCGTTGGACCAGTTGGAACTTCCGAGCCGTCTTCAAGGGCAGCCCCACGTAGAGCGCATTGCAGTAGTCCAATCTGGAGGTGACCAAGGCATGGACCACTCCGGCCAGATCCGCCTTCGCGAGGTACGGTCGCAGTTGGCGCACGAGTCTCAGTTGTGCGAAAGCCCTCCCAGACACCGCCGACGCCTGAGCCTCAAGCGTAAGCGATGAATCCAAGAGGACTCCCAAACTGCGGACCTGTGGTTTCAGGGGGAGTGTAACCCCGTCCAACACAGGTTGCCACCCTACACCCCGGTCAGGTTTACGATCGACCAGGAGGACCTCTGTCTTGTCGGGATTGATCTTCAGCTTGTTCCTCCTCATCCAGATAGACACAGCGGCCAGGCACTCGTCCAGCACCCGAGAGGCCTCCTTGGAGTTAGGTGGAAAGAGTAGTAGAGTTGTGTGTCATCTGCGTAGAGGTGGCACCTAGCTCCAAAACTCCGGATGACCTCTCCCAGCGGTTTCATGTAGATGTTAAAAAGCATGGGAGACAGAATAGAGCCTTGCGGGACCCCACAGGTCAACGGCCAGGGGTCTGAGCAGGCGTCTCCCAGCTTCACCATCTGGGATCGACCCTCCAGGAAGGATCGGAGCCACGACAAAACCGTGCCCCCGAGACCCATCCCAGAGAGTCGACCCAGAAGGATACCATGATCGATGGTATCGAAAGCCGCTGAGATGTCCAAGAGAACCAACAGAGTCACACTTCCCCTGTCCAGCTCTCTACGGAGGTCATCCACCAAGGCGACCAAGGCTGTCTCGGTGCCGCCAGGCCTGAAACCAGACTGTGACTGATCTAGGTAGTTGATGTCATCTAAAAAGCCCTGGAGCTGGGAGGCAACCACCCGCTCCAGCACCTTACCCAAAAAAGGGAGATTGGAGATTGGTCAAATTAGTTAAGTATTTGCCCCTTTAAATATGGGATTAAAGAGATACAATATCTTTTCTATGTTATCACAGAAAAACATGGAAATGGAAATCAAATTTAAAATATTTAATTTTTCCCCTTAATGAGTATAATCCCAGGTATGGGACCTTACAGTTAGCTGGCAACTTATGACTTACTGGTATATGTAGTTCTGAGGATATGTCCTTGGAAAAAAAAACTATGTGTAATGGAAAATGCCATAATTCAAAAAATATGAAAATTCATATAGTGACTATTACTTTCTGGATTAAATTATATCACATATACCTTCTGCGTCAATCTGGACATCAAGTAGTGATGGGGACAGGCCGATGGATTCCTGAGAGCTTGTTTCTTCCACTTCTGGACCTGCTGACGCTTCTCCTTCTTCGTTTCCTTGCACCCAACGTATTGGCAAACTTTGAGATGATCTTGCTGGTTCTGTGCTGGCATCTTTACATAAAATAGCTTCTAATTCTTTGTAGAATGAGCAAGTTTTGGGAGTATTTCCAGATTTCTGGTTATGGTCGAAGACCTCCTTAAATTTCAGTCGCATCATTTTGGCCTTTGCTCGGCATCCCTCCGCGTTCCTGTTGTGCCCTCTTGCCTTCATTTCAGTCGCAATCTCCTCAAATACCTCAATATTTTTATGCATCACCTGAAGGGCATCTTGAAATTTCTGATGCCCCCATATATCTAACAGGTCACGGGTTTCGGCTAGTCTCCACATTCTACCTCTCCTCTTTCCCTTTTTTTGGATTTCTTGTTGCCTATCCTCATCCTTTCCTTTCTTTTCTGGGGCTGTTCTCACTGAAGGGGAACTTTCTAGGAAATTGCTAGTGGAACGCTTGGAAAATATTTTACCTTTACTTTTATGAAATGCTGTTGAAATGTCTTGTGAACAGTAATGTGATGTACCAGAGTGAGGCAATATTTCGTAGCTATCATGTTTAAATGCTGTTTTCGGATTGATACCTGGAAAACCAAGAAAAGGGAAGCAATGTAGACTTCAGCAAGAAAGTAATGCTAATCAAGATATCATACTCTTCTGTCACCTCTACTCTCATGCTGAGATTAAAGACATATACATGTACCTGCTTCTGGTCCTCCAACTGAATGTGCTGGGAGGTTGACAGGAGTCTTTTCATGTCCTCCAAAAGAAGGTCGCATGGGTGAGGATTGTGGAGGCTCAGTAAGGGATGAAGACACCAGGACTCTATTCACATTAAATTCCTCTTTTGTCGTTGCCTCTATAAAAGACTAGAACTCTTAGTTATACATCTCTGTGTATTTTGTTTTTTTAAAAAAATAGTATAAATACTTGCCCAGGTGCAAAATGTACCTGTCCAGGTGCAGATTAGTGTAAGCACTTGTGCCTTTAAATATGGGATTTAAATCAATTTTAAAAGGGCTGGGCTTTAGCACAGCTGGTTAATCACCAGCAGCAATAGATCTCACCTTCACTGGCAGTCAAAAGGTTGCCAGTTCAAAGCCCAGGTTGGAGTGAGCACCTGACCTTCAGCCCAGATTACTATCCACCTAAGCAGTTCGAAAACAGCTGTGAGCTGTGAGTAGAGAAATTAGGAACCGCTTAAGCGAGAAGGTATTTTACGGCATAATAAAGGAAATACCAGAAAACTGCCGGCAACCAGAGGAAGTCTGTGATCAAGGCTCTATGTCATAGAGGATGGAGCGACAGCACCTCCCTGTGGCTGGAATCAAGCACAACCTCCAGGACCCTGAAGTTGGGGGAAAATGCCTCTATCTGTTGTCTTCCATGTCTGTTTAATGGCATTGAATGTTTGCCATTTATATGTTCTGTGATCTACCTTGAGTCCACTTCGAAGTGAGAAGAGCAAAAGATAAATGCTATAAAAAATAAATAATATTCCCCCATGAAATTAGAAATGAGTGTAACCACATATATGGGACCTTTTAATTAGCTTGAAGTTTATGACTTACTGGTGTTTACTATTCTGAGGATATGTTCTTGAAACAAACAACTTGTAATAGAAAATGCCATAAATTTAAAAGATGCAGGAATTCATATAGAGACTATTACTTTCTGGATTAAATTATATCATACATACCTTCTGTGGCAATCTGGCTATCAAGTAGTGATGGGGAAAGTCCGATGGATTCCTGAGAGAATGTTTTTTCAACTTGCAGAATGGCTGATGCTCCTCCTTCTTTGTTTCCTGGCACCCAACGTATTGGCAAACTTTGAGATAATCCTGTTGGTTCTGGGCTGGCACCTCTCAGCAAAATAGCTTCTAGTTCTTTGTAGAACAGGCAAGTTCTTGGAGCATTTCCAGATTTCTTGTTATGGGCAAGGACCTCCTTAAATTTTAGTCGCATCATTTTGACCTTTGCCCTGCATTCCTCCGGGTTCCTGTCGTGCCCTCTTGCACTCATTTCAGCAGCAATTTCCTCAAATACCTCGATATTCCTGTGCATCACCTTCAGGGCTTCTTGAACGCTCTGCTGTCCCCATATCTCTAAAAGGGCACGGGTTTCGGCCAGTCTCCATAGTTTGCCTCTTAGCTTTCCCCTTTTTTTGTCTTCGGGGTCTCTATCCTCATCCTTTCCTTCGTTTTCTCCGACTGTTCTCACTGAAGGGGAGCATTTTAGGAAATTGCTAGCAGAATTCTGGGAAAATAGCTTAACTACTCTTTCGCGAAGTGATGTTGAAATGTCTTGTGAACAATCATGTGATCTACTAGAGTGAGGTAATCTTTCGTAGCAATCCTGATGAAGTGCTGTTTTTTGATTGAAACCTGGAAAACAAAGAAAAGGGAAGCAATGTAGACTTCTGCAAGGAAGTAACATCAATAAACATATTAGATCTGGTTTTAAGGGAATGTCATAATAACTACAACAAAATAATATTAATAACAACAACAACAACAAGACGTCAAACTCCTCTGGGACTTCCGAATTCAGACAGACAGAGTTTTGGAACACAATACTCCTGACCTCACGATTGTGGGGAAAAACAAAGTATGGATCGTCGATGTCGCAATCCCAGGCCACAGCAGGATTGAAGAGAAACAACTGGAAAAGCTGACACGATATGAGGATTTAAAGATCGAACTGCAAAGACTGGCATAAGCCAGTCAAGGGGGTCCCAGTGGTGATCAGCACACTGGGTGCTGTGCCTAAAGACTTTGGCCTGAACGTAAACACAATTGGCACTGACAAAATTGCCATCTGCCAGCTGCAGAAGGTCACCTTACTGGGATCTGCACACATTATTCGCCGATACACCACACAGTCCTAGACACTTGGGAAGTGTCAGACATGTGATCCAATACAACAGCCAGCAGAGTGTCTGCTGTGGACTCATCTTGTTGTGTTTCAAATAATAATAATAATCATCATCATCTTTATTTACACCCCACCACCATCTCCCCAAAGGGGACTCAGGGCCAAGCCTGAAGATACAACACAGCAAAATGAAATACAAAAACAACAACAATTACATCACAAAAGAATACATGAATTAACGAACTAAGATAAACAGTGCAAAATAACATAATAAAAGTAGAACACAATGGGCGGGCCAAATGCACGAGATAAAATGACAAAACCCTGGATGAGATAGGAGTAAAAAGTGAATTTTGGCAAGAGGAGCCCAAAGAGGCCAGACAGTGGGGTTAGGTACATTTCTACATTTTTTTTTTTGAAATACATTTTACAGTTCTGGTAGGACAGGAAACAATTCAATGTGTATTTTGTTTTGAAAAGGTAGCTCCAACATCTGTGTTAAATCAAAACTCATTGCAAAGTGTTTGTTAGGGCATTTAATAGATTGTGGAAATTGCCTAGGTAAAAATCCAAGGGCCCTTGTGCCTTGTGCCTCGTTGCCAGTGTGATGTCTCTACTCTTCACTATTTTATCGAGATGGGTCCTTGCTCTCCTCCCAAGAAGGAAACGTCTTCTGATTTCCTGGCTGCACTCTGCGTCTAGTCATCTTTGCACCTAGAAATACAAAGTCTGTCGCTGCCTCCACGTTTTCTCCCTCTATTGGCCAGTTATCAATCAGTCTTGTTGCCATAATTGTGGTTTTTTTATGTTCACCTGCAACCCAGCTTTTCCCCTTTCTTCTTTCACCTTGGTGAGAAGGCTCCTCAGCACCTCCTCCCTTTCAGCCATCAAAGCGGTACCATCTGCATATCTAAAGTTGTTAATGTTTCATCCACCAATTTTAACTCCAGCCTTGGATTCATCAAGCCCCGCACGTCACATGTTGTGTTCTGCATACAAGTTGAATAGGTCGGGTGAGAGTATACAACCCTGCCATACTCCCTTCCCAATCTTGAACCAGTTGGTAGTTCCGGGGTCTTTGTTATAGTATAAACAAGTTGTTCCATTTCTTTAGCAGATACTGACTTCGAAGCAGTTTTATTTCCAGTGTTTCCCAGATTCTCAAGGCCTTGTACGATTTCTAAAAGAGTTTATTCCTACATGTTTTTAAATGATTTCTGTAACATAACAAAAACATTTAAAATTCTAATTGGAAGAAAGAACTACTTTACATTTCTCCATAAGAACATTTTTCACTACAGTTTAAATAAAATATTACCTGCTTCTGGTTCTCCAACATCAGTCTCTTCGTCTCCTCCAAAAAGCGTTTGCACGGGTGTGGGTTGTGGCGATTCTGAAAGGGCTGGAGACACCAGAACTATATTCATGTCGAATTCTTCTTCAGCCGATGCCTCTGCAGAAAATTAGAACTCTTCGTTATACATCTCTGTGTATTTTGATTTCAAAAACCAAAGTTAGATTAAATACTTGCCCCTTGAAATGTGGGAATAAAGAGATAAAATAACTTGATTTGCTTTGATGGGTAACAATGGAAACAGAAATCCAATTAAAAAACAATGTTTTGTTACAGTAAATCGTTGCAGGATCAAGTGTGCGTTAAAGAAAAACCTTATGATGTTAATTATTATGTGCAGCTGATAATGTAGGTCAGCCAGCATGTTTGGACCACACCTGATTTATTTATTTATTTACTTTGTATTTGTATACCACTCTTCTCAGCCCTCAGGGCGACTCAGAGCGGTTAACAAAGCAAATACAATACTTAAACATAATAAAAACAGTTAAAAACAAGTTAAAAGAATAACATTATAACAATCAATAAACATCATAACATCTCATCTCGTCTCATAGTTAAAATCAAGATCCAGTCTCATCATCCAAATGTTCCATATTTCTATATTAGTTACACTGCCTATTCAAATGCCTGCTCAAACAACCAGGTCTTCACTTTCCTCCGAAATGTGAACAGGGAGGGGGCCGATCTAATTTCTGTGGGAAGGGCATTTCACAGCTGAGGGGCCACCACTGAGAAGGCCCTGGTCTCTCGTCCCGCCAACCGTACTTGTGACGCAGGCGGACCGAAAGAAAAACCTTAGCATGTTAATTATTATGTACAGCTGGTAATGTAGGTCAGCCAGCATATTTGGGCCACAGCCAGTGGGGTATAACTGTATGGATTTTAGAATACAGTTTGGAGAAGCAATATGCTGTAATGCTGCTATGCTCTAACAGCGATGCTCTTTGCTATGGTGGAATAGCTATTTACTCAAGGTTTATGTTTTGCTCTCTCATTTGAATGAAGATGAAGAAGCCTTATTCTGTGTTACTTACAAGGACTATGTAAGTTTGTTGCACTGTTTGATTTTGTATGCAACACTGCAAGTTTATGCCTCTGCTGATAAGAGTAAAGTTTTTCTGTTCCTTTTTCCTCTTGCCTGTGTGTCTTTTGCATGGGAACTGGCTAAAATCCGCTTCTACGCAACATGTTTCTCATTTAAATAAGGAATGAGTGTAATGAGTGTAATCACAGATATGAGACCTTATAATAAGTGATGATATGGTTTCTGATGATATGGCTATTCTGATGATATGGTTTTGAAACATAGTATTCATAGGGTTGTTGTTCTGTCACGCACTGGGCCTGTAATAATTGTCTTTTGAAATAGGACGTGCACCTTGTGCCCAGCGGGAAGCCAGGGCGCCACGAAAGAGGCCCTCAAGGATTTTCCTGACGAAATGGTCTTTAGATGGCTTGAAAGGTTAAACAAAGTCCTTTATTATTGAACAAATTAAACAGATATTTCTCAAATCTTCAATGAGTCAAACAAATGCTTCAAGGCTTTAAATCAACTGGTGGCTTCCTTAATCTTGTCCACAAGGGACAGGCAACTGTCTTCGTTAACTGTTTCTTATACTTTAACAAGAAAACCCTTTTTTAACCTCTCCCAGGCTGTCTATTATCTAAGCTTTACTGATGTGGGAACTACAACCGGATCCAAACTGCGTCTTGGGCACCGAGTAGACCTACCAGCAAAGGTTTGGATATTCTCCAGCTGGAGTTCTTTGGGTCTGTAAGGCTGTTTTCCCTCTGGAATTTCTCAAGAACTTTCAGGGCTGTTTCCCTCAGATGCTGTAAGGCTGTGAGCTCCCTGCCAGAGCTTTGGGACTGTTTTTCCCCGGAATTCTTAAGAAGTGAAGCTTTTCTGCGGGTGAAGCTACTCCACGTCATATAGCTTGGTTTCCTTCTGTAGGACTAACTAAAATGGTTCCCTTCCCTTCCCATGTCCCTGGGAGAAGGGGCGGATCCAAACTTAACAATGATAGACAGGTGGCTTGCCCTATGACTGCAAACCAAAGGAAGCCACCTTTTTGCAGAATCCCTGAAACTTTGGAATGCATGCAAACACTTAATAGAAAGAAAATAAAGTTGGAGCTCGTGGTACAGACGTACCAGCACAATTGTTGTAGGTTTTTTTGGGCTATATGGCCATGTTCTAGAGGCATTATCTCCTTAGGAGAGAATTAGGAGAGAATGCCTCTAGAACATAGCCATATAGCCCGAAAAAAAAAAACCTACAACAACCCAGTACTTCCGGCCATGAAAGCCTTCGACAATACATAATATTCATAATAGAAAATGACATGATTTTTTTAAAAGATACAAAAATACGCATAGAGACCATTACTTTCTGGATTAAAGTCTATCACATATACCTTCAGTGGCAATCTGGGCATCAAATAGTGATGGGGACAGTCCGATGGATTCCCGAGAGCAAGTTTCTTCAGCTTCCAGAATGGCTGCTGCTTCTCCTTCTTTGTTTCCTTGCACCCAGCGTATTGGCAAACTTTGAGATAATCTCGCTGGTTCTGTGCTGGCATCTCTCTGCAAAATAACTTCCAATTCTTTGTAGAACGGGCAGATTCTTGGAGCATTTCCAGATATGTTGTTATGAGCGAGGACCTCCGTAAATGTTAATTGCATCATTTTGGCCCTTGTCCTGCATTCCTCCGCGTTTCTGTCATGCCCTCTTGTCCTCATTTCAGTAGCAATTTCCTCAAATATCTCACTATTCATATGCTGCAGGGCGCCTTGAAATTTCTCTTGTCCCCATATATCTAAAAGGTCACGGATTTCATCCAGTTTCCACATAATATCTTTTCCCTTTCCCCCTTTCTGGACTTCTTGTTGTGTATCTTCATCCTTTCCTTCAGGGAGGCACTCTAGGAAGTTGCCAGTGGAATGCTGGGGAATCCTATTAACGAATCCTCTTTTGCAAAATGATGTTGAAATGTCTTGTGAATAGTAATGTGAAGTACTAGACTGAAGTAATCTGTCATGGCAATCCTGTTGAAGTGCTGTTTTCTGATTGATGCCTGGAAATACAATTGACATTTCTCGTGGGAAAGGGAAACAATGCAATTTCTCTTTTAAAAAGTGGCTCCAACATCTCTGTCAAATCAGAACTTATTACAAGGTGTTGTCTGAATAAGAAAGGGTGTTTTTTTAGACAAAAACATGTCCACTTACCCTTCTGTCATCTCTATTCTCATGTTGGGATTAGAGACATACAATGGAAAATGAGGAATGTATAAAGTTGGATTCGTTTAGCTGAGGGTAGTGTAGTTATTACTGTTGAAGCTGTTTGCAATTTATAATGTAGATTTCAAAGTATGTATGTATGTATGTATGTATGTATGTTTAAAATGCAGTAGCTATGTGCTGAGGGTAATGTATTCGTGTGTGGAAAGAGTTAACTGAACCATGGAGGGAACGGCATTCCTAGAGATGTCATAAATCAAGTGTATAGAACAAATGGACACAGCAGTCATGTGTCGTACCTTATACGTCACTCTGGAATGCAAGAGGTGTGGACTAGTACTGATAGCCGTTTGTGTGTTCGAGGTGTTACGGTCGGACAGAGAAGAAGCAAAGTTTTAAGATGTGCTGAGTGATACCAGATGAGAGACTCCCCCCCTGGGCACACAGAGGACTGGGCAACTTGGAAAGCGCTGTACAGACTGCGCTCTGGCACCACGAGATTAAGAAATGGGGCTACAAAGTGGAATCCATGACATGCGAGTGTGGAGAAGAGCAAACCACTGACCACCTGCTGCAATGCACACTGAGCCCTGCTACAATGCACAATAGAGGACCTTCTTGCAGCAACACCAGAGGCACTCCAAGTGGCCAGATACTGGTCAAAGGACATTTAACCAACTACCAAGTTTGCAAAATCTGTGTGGTTTTTTTTTAATCTGTGTGTTTGTTCTGTTAGAAATGTAATACAATGGTATGGTTGCTGATGACATGATAAATAAATAAATAAATAGCTTCTAATGTATATAGCTGTAGTAGCTTCCAATGTTTGTAGTAGCTTCTAATGTAAAATAAAGTAGTTTATAGCCTAAGGTGGCTGAGATGATCGTGTTTCCTGCCTTGCTGTGCGGCTGATGACACTGACAATTACTGCTATAGAGATACAAAGGGTAGTAATGCTTTTAAAACCAATCCATATCTGAAATTTACCTTGTTATCATTATCAAACGTTGTTGTGTATTTCTGAACGCCAGCATTGCATCAAACCCAATCCCCTGGGTTGTGGTCACGCCTCAACCCTTCTTTTCTGCATAGGAGCTCCATGATGGACGAATCGTTATGATTAAGATAAATGCAGTTCTCCTTTGAATGGATACCCTTAGTGCATTAGTTCATGGATTTAGAACATGTGATACCATAACAATAACTGAAAAATATCTTTGAAATCTAATTTATTTTAAAATGAAGTGTAGTAATAACCCTGAAAACCTTCTCACTATGGTGAGAAGGAAGGTTTCAAAAACGCAAGACAACATTTCCTGTCTAGGGGGAGCATTTATTGCCCTGGAGACTACATATTACAATTATCAACATGCTTGTACTGTAATTGTTGCACTCCAGGTCAGGAAAAAGCCCTCTGACTTTAAAACACACCACGAGAAGAGTGAAGAAACAAATCTTCTTTTATTGAAGCATAGTAAATAGCCAGAAGAAATAAATGCTTGTAAGAAAATAAGAAGGTTCCAAAAAGTAATAAGTCAATAAAAAGCTGTAACACAAAACAACATCCACACGAGAAATAAAAGCAATCCAATGCAGCATTAATCCAGACAGGAATCAAACAGGATGCAAAGACAATCCAAAAGGCTAAAAACTCTACAAGAACAAGACCCCTTGAACAGGATTTCCATGGCACATGAACTTGGTTTCCAAATGATGCCTGATCTAACAGGCTTCCCCTTGAGGCAAACCTTATATCCCAAAACTCAGAAATTGGTTTTGCTTTCCCCCATATTTACTCCTTAACAGACAAAGCCTTTCGGAGCGACATAAACAATGAGATTGCTGTCGATCCTGGCTAAACTCCAGCCACCTATTCTTCAGCTCCCTATCTGGCTGCTCATTAAAATTCCCAGGTGTCAGATTGTTTTCCAAACCCAAATCTTAAGAGCTCACAGAGAGAGGGAGTGAACTATCATTGCTTGGCCCAGCAGGGATATTCTCATGAGAAACTGCCCTTTGCCCTGGGGTCTCTCTGTCATTGTCGGCCTGAAAATCATTGACCAAACCATCTCCATCTTGTACCTCAGCCTCAGCACCATCATTTCCCTCATCATTTCCCACTTCAGGGAAACACAAACACAGGCTGATTCCCAACAGTAATGTCATTATGGTTTAAGTGAGTTTTTTCATTTCCGAATACAATATATTGGCATAATTTCCAGTGGTTTCCAATTCTGCGCCTTCCATTATTTCAAAGGGAGTTTATTTCTGTGTTTTTAAATTATTTCTGTAACAAAACCATTGAAAATTCTAACTGGAAGAAAAGACTACTTAACATCTCGTGGTAAGAACAATTTAAATAAAATGACTTCCAATTACCTGCTTCTGGTTCTCCAACTGAATGTGCTGGAAGGCTGACAACAGTCTTTTTCTGGCGTCCAAAAGGCATTTGCACGGGTGTGAACTGTGGAGATTCAGTAAGAGCTGGAGAAACCATGACGATATTCACGCCAAATTCCACTTCTACTGCTGACACTACAAAATAATAGGACTAAGTTACACATCTCTGTGTATTTTGATTCAAAATATATAAAAATTGTGGTAAGTAGCTGCCCAGGTTCAAAATAAGAGTAATTACTTAATCATTGACACATGGGAGTAAAGAGATAAAATAATATGGGAGCAGAAATTGATTTCAAAAGACTTAATTTCCCCCCTTTAAATTAAGAATATGTCATATTAATATAATATGTAGATTTGACGTCAGCGTGCTGGAAGAAGCAAAGACCACCAGCACTGAAGTGATGGTCCTCCACCATCAACTCTGCTGGACCAGCCACGTTGTCCAGATGCCTGACCACCGTCTCCCAAAACAGTTGCTCTACTCCGAACTCAAGAACGGAAAAGGGAATGTTCGTGGGCAGGAAAAGAGATTGAAAGATGGGCTCAAAGTCAACCTTAAAAATTCTGACATAGTCACTGAGAACTGGGAAGCCCTGGCCTGTGAGCGCTCCAGCTGGAGGTCAGCTGTGACCAGCACTGCTGTACAATTTGAAGAGTCACAAATTGAGGGTGAAAGAGAGAAACGTGCAAAGAGGAAGGCGCTTCAAGCCAACCCCGACCAGGACCACCTTCCACCTGGAAACCAATGCCCTCACTGCGGTCAAGAATAAGGCTCCATAGTCACCTATGGACCCACCGCCAGTGCACCAATTTTGGGTGACAATCCTACTCAAACTACGAGGGATCGCCTAAACCTAAGTAAGGTCGTGGATTCTATGTAGGTACATAGAATCTGGATGTCTGTGTGTCTAAATGTTCTATAAAAGTTCTGATATCCCATCTCTTACTGGAAAATTTCAATAAAAAGAAGCTATCCTTTAAAGTTAATGAAAAGTTATTCATAACCAATGAGTGTAACCACAGGTATAGTATCTTCTATTTAGCTGGTAGCCTATGACTAACTGGTGCCTGCGATCCTGAGGGTAAGTTCTTGAAACATACTACTTGTAACAGAAAATTCCACAATTAAAAAAATATACTCAGAGACCATTACTTTCTGAATTGAATTATATCATATATACCTTCTGTGGCAATCTGGGCATCGAGTAGTGATGGGGACATGCCGATAGATTCCTGAAAGCATGTTTTCTCAACTTGTGGAATTGCTGATGCTTCTCCTTCCTTGTTTCCTTGCACCCAATGTATTGGCAAATTTTGAGATACTCTCGCTGGTTCTGTGCTGGCATCTCTCCGTAAAATAGCTTCTAATTCTTTGTAGAACGAGCAAGTTTTTGGAGTATTTCCAGATTTCTGGTTATGGTCGAAGACCTCCTTAAATTTTAGTCGCATCATTTTGGCCTTTGTCCGGCATTCCTCCGCGTTCCTGTCGTGCCCTCTTGCCCTCATTTCAGCCGCAATCTCCTCAAACACCTCAATATTCCGGTGGACCCCCTGCAGGGCATCTTGGAATTTCTGCTGCCCCCATATATCTAAAAGGGCACGGATTTCGACTAGTTTCCACAAAATACCCTTTCTCTTTTCCTTTTTTTGGGCTTCTCGTTGTCTATCCTTATCCTTTCCTTCCTTTTGTCCAGCTGAAGGAGAGGATTCTAGGAAATTGCTAGCAGAATGCTGGGGAATCAAATTAATCAATCCTCTTTCATGTAATGATGTTGACATGTCTTGTGAATAGTATTGTGAAGTTCCACAGTAAGATAATCTTTCGTAGCTATCATGCTGAAGTGCTGTTTTCTGACTGATGCCTGGAAAACAAAGAAAAGGGAAGTAATGTAGACTTCCGAAAGAAAGTAACACCAATTAACCTAGCAGGTCTTGTTTTCAAGAATATGTATGCCCAGGGTGGAACATATCTCACTGAGTTAAAATAGTGGATGTGGCTCTTAATGAGACATGCTGCATTATGACAGGATGTCTACAACTCCACACCACTGAAGAAATTATACTTTTTGGCTAGCATTGCATCACCTGACATCCGCCAGGAAGTAGCAGCCAATAATGAAAGGACCAAGGCTGTAACGTCTCCATCCCATTCCCTGTTCAGATATCAGCCAGCATGCCAATGCCTTAAATGAAGAAACAGTTTTCTAAGATCTACAGAGATACTTGCAGGAATACCTCAGCAAGCGAGAGTCCAAAAGTGGCAGGCTAAAATCTGGAACCTCAAGCTATAGCTGATACCAAATGAGAGACTCCCCCCTGGGCACACAGAAGATGGGGTGACTTGGAAGGCACTAAAAAGACTGTGCTCTGGCACCATGAGATGCAGAGCCAACTTTAAGAAATGGGGCCACAAAGTGGAGTCCATGACACGTGAGTGCGGAGAAGAGCAAACCACAGACCACCTGAACGAATGAATAACAACAAAGGATTACTTTACATTCATTGGTAGGAACTGTTTTGACTACAGTTTAAATAAAATGCCTGACAGTTACCTGCTTCTGGTTCTCCAACTGGATAAGCCTGAAGGCTGGCATCAGTCTTTTCATCTCCTCCAAAAGAAGGACGCACAGGCATGGATTGTGGAGAAACCAGAACTATATTCACGTCAAATTCCCCTTCGGCCGCTGCCTCTGCAGAAAATTCGAAGGCTTAAGTTATAAATCTGTGTATAAGTCTGTGTCGAAGCGAGCCTTCGACAATTTATTTATTTATTTATTTCGAGGTTTTATATACCGACCCTCTCACCTTCAAAGAGGAATTCGGATCGGACCGGTTCGACAATACATTAAAGTTAGATGACTTGCCCCTTGACATAAAGAGTTAAAATACTGTGTTTTGATAATTTTCCCCCTTTAAATTAGGATTGAGTGTAACTATAGGTATTATTTATTTAGAACATTTATACCCCGTCCTTCTCAACCTCCGAATAGACTCAGGACGGCTTCCAACAGGCAACCATTCAGAGCCGACACAATATAAAATATATCATAACATACAACCATATACATTAAAACAGTTATAAATATACATTAAAATGTTTTCCAGGTTCATCATTCCTTGGAAGCTTTTAAACAGAGGCTGGATGGCTATCTGTCAGGGGTGCTTTGAATGCAATATTCCTGCTTCTTGGCAGAAAGGGGTTGGACTGGATGGCCCATGAGGTCTCTTCCAACTCTATGATTCTATGATTCTATATTCTTGGGCCAAAAGTCTTTCACCATCACTGTGTGAAAACCTGATTCCAAAGCCAGAATTTCAGTTTCTTCAGGAAGGTCAGAAGGGGGGAAGATCTAACCTCATTAGGGAGGGTTCCACAGCTGAGGGGCACCACGGAGAAGGCCCTGTCTCTCGTCCCCACCAAACGCGACTGCGATGGCGATGGAACAGAGAGGAGGGCCTCCCCTGATGATCTTAAGGTCCTTGGTGGTTTGTTGAGGGAGATAAGTTCAGATAGGTAAACTGGGCCGAAACCATTTAGGGCTTTATAGGTTAAAGCCAGCATTTTGAATTGTGCTCGGAAGCTAATAGGCAACTGAAGCTGGAGTAGCATGGGAGTTGTACGTTCCTTGTACGCCACTACCATGAGCAACCTGGCTGCCGGGTGTTGGACAAGCTGGACCTTCCGAGCAGTCTTCAGAGGCAACCCCACGTAGAGTGCGTTGCAGTATGAGACTAAAGTTAGATTAAGATCATCAGGAGAGGCCCTGCTCTTGATCCCACCACTCTCGCAAACGCAGTTGGTGGGGACGAGAGACAGGGCCTTCTCGGCAGTGGCCCCCCATCTGTGGAACTCTCTCCCTAAGGATATCAGGTTGGCCACCTCCCTCCTGTCCTTTAGAAAACAACTGAAGACCTGGCTCTGGGGCCAGGCATTCAATTAGAGGCCAGCGGCAATAGGAAAAGGAAATTTGGATTTTTGCAACATGGATTCTCCCGGCTCGGCTTGGTTTTACTGGCACGTTAATCTATTAATTTATTGTTAAATTTTATTGATGATATACAATGTTTTAAAATGATTTTATTGTAAGTTGTAGTTTTTATGGTATTTATGTTGTTAGCATCCTCTGATACTCATGTGAGGCCGCGCTGAGTCCCCCTTGTGGGGAGAAGAGCGGGATATAAATATATGAAATAAATAAATAAATAAATAAATAAATAAATAAAATAAAATAACTTGTTTTGATGGGTAGCTGTCATATGTCCTGCAGTTGATGGTGGTTGATGATGGATGGGTTAATGTAAGTATTTGTTCTAAAGGGTTGAGTAATCTGTAAGTAAGAGTTCATGGGTGAAAGCAATTAAGGGTGGAGATATGCAAGAGATAGGTTGCAGCTGGGTGTTTCTGGATATAAGGAGCGAGCCTTGGAACTGATCTTTGGGAGAAAAGTATTTGTCATATTTTGGTAGTGAATACTGCTGGTTTTCCCCCAGGTCTCTGGTATCCTGACCTGTCTCCTGAACTCTTAGAATCAAGGAACCTTGAATCTTTGGACTGGCTGTTGACTACAGTAGACTCTTGATCCCTGGACTTTGTTTACTGAATTCTCTGCATTTGACCACTGGACTGGACGCTTTGACTACGGAGTTATCTTGAACCTCCAACAGTGTTTGCTGTTTTTGTTTATTCTGTTGCTGAGTGCTATATGTTTTATATTTTGGACTAGTAAAACAGCATACACTGCTTTTCATAGAAGCATAGAATCAAAGAGTTGGAAGAGACCTCATGGGCCATCCAGTCCAACCCCCTGCCAAGAAGCAGGAATATTGCATTCAAATCACCCCTGACAGATGGCCATCCAGCCTCTGTTTAAAAGCTTCCAAAGAAGGAGCCTCCACCACACTCCAGGGCAGAGAGTTCCACTGCTGAAAGGCTCTCACAGTCAGGAAGTTCTTCCTCATGTTCAGATGGAATCTCCTTTCTTGTAGTTTGTTTTATACAAACTGGGTTTTTGTTTGATTCATCTCTGCCTCTGAATAAGGCAGAGCCCTGGCATCGTGACAGTAAATATGGAAACAGAAATCAAATTTAAAAGACTTCATTTCCTCATTCCTAATCTAAAGGGGGAAATGAAGTCTTTTAAATTTGATTTCTGTTTCCATATTTACTGTCACGATGCCAGGGCTCTGCCTTATTCAGAGGCAGAGATGAACCAAACAAAAACCCAGTTTGTATAAAACAGTTTAATTTTTTTAAAGAAACTATATGAGAATACACATAGGGACCATTACTTTCTGGATTAAATGCTATCACATATACCTTCTGTGGCAATCTGGGCATCAAGTAGTGATGGGGACAGTCCGAAGGATTCCTGAGAGCATGTTTCTTCAACTTCCAGAACGGCTGATGCTTCTCCTTCTTTGTTTCCTTGCACCCAACGTATTGGCAAACTTTGAGATAATCTCGCTGGTTCTGGACTGGCGTCTCTCAGCAAAATAGCTTCTAATTCTTTGTAGAACAGGCAAGTTTTTGGAGCGTTTCCAGATTTCTTGTTATGGGTGAGGACCTCCTTAAATTTTAGTCGCATCATTTTGGACTTTGCCCTGCATTCCTCCGCGTTCCTGTTGTGCCCCTTTGCCTTCATTTCAGTAGCAATATCTTGAAATACTTCAATATTCCTGTGCATCACTTGCAGGGTGTCTTGATATTTATGTTGTCCCCATATAACTAAAAGGTCACGGATTTCGGCTAGCCTCCATATTTTACCTTTTCTCTTTTTCTTTCCCGTTTTTTTGACGTCTCGTTGTGTATCCTCTTCCTTTACTTCCTTTTTTCCAGCTGTTTTTACTGAAGGGGGGCATATTTGGAAATCGGTAGCGGAATGCTTGGAAAATATTTTAACAAATTCTCTTTCATGAAATGATGTTGAAATGTCTTGTGAACAGTAATGTGAAGTACCACAGCGAGGTAATCTTTCGTAGCAATCATGCTGAAGTGCTATTTTCTGATTAAAACCTAGAAAACAAAGAAAAGGGAAGCAATGTAGAGTTTGTAATGGGGATAAGGGTCTCTTATCGCACATGACAGGGGGGAACCTTTCTTTTCAATCCCACCGCTGGCACCACTGTAATATAGATAAACGAGGGGGGTTACAGGTGATGAGAGAGAACAGTGTGTATGTATGTAATGGTAGGTTTGCTGCCACCACCCCAAATTACAGTTTGAGGAATTGTCTTGTCGTTGTACTTGAGGTAAAATGTCCCTATACACCGGTTCTTCCTCTTGGCTCCCTTTCTTGCGACTGAACTGTGGAGATGAGGAGGCTGACTGGATCTAACTTTGTATGATAAAACAAGGCTGAGGCAGCTTAATGGTAAACTAGAGAACAGGTTTATTGAAATATTTGAAGCAGACAACTCATTACTGAGAGGTACAACGCGTAGTTTGTTTCTGAAGCACAGATTTATCAAGCAAATGGTTTCTTTAGAAGGAGTAACTTTTTCTTAACGTGAGCTACTTTCCTCACACTATCCTATAACATGTAACAGTGTGTTTCTTGGACCAGCCGCCCTTGGCTGCCTTTCTAGAGTATCTAGGTTTTCCCTGGACTACTCTAAACTGTAGGGAAATAAACCCACTTGTATTCTGTCCTAATACAAGTAAACAAGTCTTCACTTTGACTGCCCTAGTCAAACTACACAGAAGCCCTTGCTCTTATTATTCCCTAACAGTCTAATTCCTAGCTCACTCAGAAACTCTCTTCTCCCTGTCTGAAATCCTAATCCTATCTCTCCTAGATCAAATCCTTCTCTCCCCCTTCTTGTTGCAATCCAGAGCAGGAAACGAGGCCCTAAGATAACTATCCACCACACTTGACTGTGAAAAACAATCCTTTTTTATTGAAGAAAAATGGTTACAGAATAAAGGAAAAATGCAAGTCAAAAGCCACAGCAAAATCAGCAAACATGAATTTAAATGGACAAAAACAAAACCCAAAGCCACACTGTAAAATACTGGAACCTGTTAGCAATTCACTAACCATACTTGATATCCTAGAAATCTTTCAAGACAATGGCCAGGAAAACCGGGAGAATTGCCAAGGTCTTCATCAATCTGAAACGATGCCTGAACTGAGAAAGTCAGCCCGGCGGAAGGCACTTAAAGCCAAAGAATTGGTTCCGTGAACCGCCCCTCTGCTTTGAAGCCATTGTTTGTATTTCTCTTAATCGGGAAGACCTTCGCAAGCTGAGTAATTTACTTCTGAGTAATTTACTTCTGTCTTGCCAGATCTGGCCCCTTCTGTTGTCATTACAGTTACCAGGTGCAGAAGGGAGTGAAAGGTCATGGCTTCCCTCTGAAACATTCTCATGAACACTGGTACTTTCATTTTCCAAATCTACAGAAGTTTCTTCCTCACTAATTTCAGGAGCATTGGCATCAAGAGGTACATTTTTATTAGCATCAGTAAATATATTTTCATTAGCATCAGGAGGAACAAACAGAGAATCAGGTTCAAGTTCAAACTCAGGCTGAACCCCAACACTTCTGTCAGAAAAGACAGCTCCTGTTCACTCTCCTTCAACTCCTCCCTTTGGGGTCTGAACCAATCAGGAGTTAGCTGACTCCTCCCCTTGCCTCTCTGCCTTTACCAACATGTCAGCCACCCTGAGCTGCCTTCCCAACACTGACTTCCAGGCTGCGGCCTACGAAGCAAAGGTATGAGTTCATTACAGAGTTCAGCAAGGAAGTAACACCAATCAACATATCTGATTTGGTTTTAAGGGGCCGAAGGTGGCACAATGGGTTAAATCCTTTCCTCTCTGAAACATTAGAAGTCTATAATAAGCCCTTTCCTCCAAAGCCACAAGTGTCATGGTTCCTTATGATGGAATCCTAGAACTGGCAGTTTAGTGAGGGCTGTTGAGATAACTCGACAATGAATCAATAAAGAGCAAATCCCAAGATTCCATTGGATGTTGCCATGTCAATTACAGTAGGATCATATCTCTCTAACTATGGAGCCCCCGGTGCCACAGTGGTTTAAACTCCTGTGCCGGCAGGACTGAAGACCGACAAGTCTCAGGTCTGAATCTGGGGAGAGTGTGGATGAGCTCCCTCTGTCAGCTCTAGCTCCCCATGTGATGACATGAGAGAAGCCTCCCACAAGGATGGTAAAACATCAAAAACATCTGGGCATCTCCTGGGCAACATCCTTGCAAACAGCCAATTCTCTCACACCAGAAGCGACTTGCAGTTTCTCAAGTTGCTCCTGACACACACAAAAAAATAGCACTCTAAACGTGTTGTTTGAAAGGGACCTGAGCCTCTATAGGAAAGGAAATTGATTTAAATTCCTTACTCAGACAGGTGACGTTCTCGTAGGTCTCGATCATGACCTCCTCATACAAAGCCCTTTGGTTCTTGTCCAGCAATCTCCATTCGTCCTCTGTGAAATATATGGCCACATCCTTAAAGGTCACCTGAAACAGAAAATAGCTCTCATAAGGAAAATTACTGGCTGCCACATCAACAAAGGATCTCAGCCAGAGCTACAGTACATGCAAATCTACTGCTTAAATTAACAAATCATAGTCATCTAGGATCTTTAGACCCACTTCTTAAAGTATATAAGGCTAAGCACCGGGACTGTGGTATCAGCTGCATTCAGATCACTTCTGACCGAAAGGTCATGAGTTCGAAGCCAGCCCAGGTTGGAGTGAGCTTCTGACCAATTGTGTAGACTGTTGTCGACCTTTGCAACCCGAAAGACAGTTGCATCTGTCGAGTAGGAAAATTAGGTACCACCTATGTGTGGGGAGTGTAATTTAACTAATTTACAAGGCCATAAAAAAGACTCCAGCAAAGCATGCGGGGAATGCGGAAGTACTTCATCAGTGTCACAGATGGACAATGAAAGCGACAGCTCCCCTGGTGGGCAGAAAAAGTTAAATAGCCTCTGACTATCTGTCTATATGTGTTGTGTGTCTCTGGCATTGAATGTTTGCCATAGATGTGTACATTGTAATCCACCCTGAGTCCCCTGCGGGGTGAGAAGGGCGGAATATAAATACTGTAAATAAATAAATAAGGTTACCCCTTATTTCCACACTGATGAAGTACTTTCCACACTGATGAAGTACTTTCCACATTCCCCGCATGCTTTTGCTGGAGATTTTTTATGGCGTCGTAAATTTGTTAAATTAGTCTCCCCACACATAGGTGGTACCTAAATTTCCCACTTGACAGATGCAACTGTCTTTTGGGTTGCAAAGGTCGACAACAAGCTACACAAATTGGCCGGAAGCTCTCTCCAACCCGGGCTGGCTTCAAACTCATGCGCCACAGTCCCTTTTGCATGGGCTTTGGCTAAAACACACTTTGTGCAGCACATTTGGCCTGTGGAAGCTGTTCCCCATAAGTCTTATCGAACTCTATTACTCACTGGCACAAATCTAGGGCAGGTCTGTCCTAATGGCAGAAGTTTGGATTTTCAACCTGTATGGTCAAGACCAGGCAAAGGAAACCAAACGATAATCTTTCTCTCCTTGACAGTAAAAACAAGGATAGAAACAACTACAAAGTTGTTTCTTAGCAATGTCTGTGTCTCATGATGCCTCAAAACAATAGCTGTCTAAGTCAAGGCAAAGTGGTGGCTCCAGCCCTGCCTCAAACCCATGAGTTCAATGCTTATCCAGCTATATATCAGGTCTTGCGGAGAGGTCTAAGAGACCCTTCGGAGAAAGTCCAGGCCCCCCACTCCTGGCCCTGATTGGTCACAGCAAGATCAAGGTTGCAGGAAGGAAGTGAGAGACTGCAGGACAGACATCTGACCTGCCCAAGGTCTCTAACTTTGCTGACATCCAACCACACATGGTTAAACCCTTGTGCCGGCAGGACTGAAAACAGACAGGTCAGAGATTCAAATCTGGGGAGAGCGCAGATGAGCTCCCTCTGTCAGCTCCAGCTTCCCAGGCAGGGACATGAGAGAAGCCTCTCACAAGGATGATAAAAAAATCAAAACATCTGGGCAACGTCCTTGCAGATGGCCAATTCTCTCACACCAGACGCGACTTGCAGTTTCTCAAGTCACTCCTGACACGGAAAAAAAAAAAAGATGGACAAAGCAAACAAATGTATTCCTGGGAGGCTGGACCAAAGATGGAAAATCTTTCTGCTTTTGGTAGGAACTGTTCAGAATCCCTGTTGCAGACTCCCAAGAAAGAAAGAGAGAATGTTAACCTGTTCCAAGGACATCGTTCTTGCAACTTCTTCAACAAAGGAGGAATTCGGTGCAGATTCTCCTCTCTCTGTGTGTTTGGAGATCATCCACGCCAATTTTTTGGACCTGCAGTAAGTACAAATATTTCCACATATATTTAATATGGTTTTCCATGGACCACCAAAAGACACTTAAATGATACTGAGAGCAAATCAAGCCTGTGCTTTCCCTACAAACCACAATAAGCTTTAAGAGTCCAGTGCTGCAAAAATACTGAATGGGAAAGTGGGGATGGCTCATCTGGTTGAGGCAGAAAAGGGGTTCAGACCTGTCATGTTTCTCCTATGGAGTTACACATTCTTCTCAACCCCTCACAGAGAGAAAACAGACCTAGTTCTGAAGTGGGGGGAAAGGGGCCCCTCAGCAACTCTCTAGGCCTCCTTGTCCATCCCCCAATCTCTAGAGCAAGGGTTGTGTTTCAATCCTTGTGTTTCAATCCCTCTGTTTCACTCCGAGGTTCAGCCTGCCTTTCTTCCCTCCCTCCTTCACTGTCTTTCACTGCAAGGCTGTTGTGAGAAATATAATAAGAAAACTTTATTTGTATTCTGCCCTATCTCCCCAAGGGGACTCCAACGTAACAATGGCAAACATTCAATGCCTACATAAAACACATGATACTGACCTAAAATCCCAGAAAAACCCCACATATAAAAGTAGCATTAAAACCTAACATCAAATTGCGTGTTTTCATTAATGGCATTGAATCTTTGCCACTTTTTGTGTGGAAATT